TAAGCTCCATGGTACTGCTCATCAGACTATGTGAGGCTGTCGCTATCCCGTTTGTCAACTACAGTATGCTCCTTGAAATCGATTGGTAGACTACATGACCCCATCTCGATCAGCTGTCCAATACTAGTCAGAACGACGGTTAGAGTCGGTACATCGCACAATAAAGGTGCAGTCCACCCATGAGCTCATTCGTAGTTTGCGTGCGCGCGCAGTTTCTGAGCGAACTGATTTGTTGAACCGGATCTATGATAGGGTGGCAAATTATTGTGTATGTTTCCAGTTCGGTGGTAAGGAGTGAACTAAAGGTTATCAGCACTTAGTCGCGTACAGTACCCATAAAAAGTGTATAGTTTGAAATTTGGAATACAATACGCAACTATTGTCTCTTGTGTGATCATGCACCCGAAGAGAAAGCGCCCTGGAAAATCCGTGGCAAGTAAACAATCCCGACAATTAACTGGCTAGCAGTTATCATAATGTCGACAATTTATGTTCCGCTCCACATTTCAGTGATGAGTGAGTATAGCTATATTACCCGTTGTTTATCAGCCATAATGAATTTACCTGCGGCTATGAAAACGTAGGTATTATGCGGATTTAAGGCGAAAGTGTAGAGGTGCCTACTAGAAGTGAAACTGTATATGGCCAATCATTTGGGTAGACTAAGAAGAAGGTAATGCCAACAGTAATGGTACGTGGGTGTCTTAGTATATTACATCGGATAGGAATCGGCGCATAGTGACAATCGTTGTAGGAGCACCGAATGGCTGCACCCGAGACGTACGATGCAGAAGGTTATCAAATAGATTACAGAGACAGCAAAGTGTACAGCGGGCATCATTCATTATACACGTTAGCTAGAGGTGTGAAATATCTCAGCTACTGTGCCGCAATACATAAAAGAAAATAAATGCAACAGTTGCATGCCAGCTGAGCTACCAGCAACGGATGGACATCGTTCCGGAAAGCTAACAGCAGGCTAGTAGGCAACAAGAAAAATAATTATATAAATTTATATTACGCTACGAAATGAGATCATGGTTGGAGAGGGAGGCTAAGAGGGATGAGGAGGGACAAAGAAACTCACAGCACGAACGCCACTGAGGTCGGCTCCTGGCCATATCAGCAAGTGTAGCTAGCCAAACGTATTCATCGTCTTTTGGACCCCAACCAGGGAGCCGTGAAGCTCCAACCGAGGCTAGCTCCGAAGTAAAGACCTTCATTTCTCTCGACCAAGTCATCGCTTGGCCACCCCTCCTCTTCTTCCATCCACACCCACGGCGCCCAAACAACACACGCCGCGGAAGTCGGTGGACTGGCATGCGTAACACGTGGCTAAGCCATCGGAGCCTGATGCGTGAAATAACGGTGCTGAGTGGTTCATTTCCTTTTCCTGTGCCATAAACAAGACGTCGAACACGCTCGTTTCTCACGCGGTGTTCCCACCAAATGTGAGCTAAATTGCGAAGGCACCGGTGGTCGAACGTAACTAGACTCTTCAGGTCCGCTGCTTTAAGCGGCCAGGTTTCACAACCGTACAATAGGGTCGAACGTACTGCTGCATTGTACACTCTACCCTTCAGGGCAAGAGTGATGTCGCGCCGGCGCCATAACTGGCGACGGATGGAAAAAGCGCCTCGAGCTTTTGTTATCCGGTTCGTGATCTCGTCTTCATTTCCATGGGCGCTGATACAACTTCCCAGGTAATTGAATTTTTGAACGACTTCTAGCTGATCCCCACCAAGGATCAGCGCAGGAAGCGGTTCGGGCCAATCTTTGAGGAACGCTTTGCACTTCGAGGGTGCGAAGCAAAGCCCGAAATGACGGACAGCCAGTGCTAATCTGTCCAGTGCAGCTTGGCACGTCTGCGGGCTGTCACAGATTAGGGCAATACCGTCAGCATACTCCAAGTCAAGTCGTTTTCCCGGAAGCAGATCCACACCTTCTAAGTCGTGTCCTGTGAATGTGATTTTCATGACTTCGCCAACAGCGAAGTTGAAGAAGAAAGGTGAAAACATGCATCCTTGTCTCACATCGCTTGCCGTAAGCCCTCACTCTGCCCGTGGTACGCGCATATAAGGCTCGGATAATATTTACATATTTCCCAGGTACACCTTTCCTGAGTAGACAGTCCCAGTGCGCATGTCTATCCACCGAATCGAATGCACTTTTGATATCGAGGAACAGGACTACGGTGGGCCGCCAATATATGTGACGGTGCTCCAACAACAGACGCAAAGTGAAGTTGTGGTCAATGCACCCACGACCTCGACGAAACCCGGCTTGCTTTTCACGATATGACTTTCAGGAGTGCCATTCAGTCTGTGAAGGATTACGGAGCCGATGGAGATCAGACTGATTCCTCTATGGCTGCCGCATTCCAATCGTGAGCCACCCTTGAAAACTGGGACAATGACGGAGCGGCTCCAGTCGGTTGGGACAGTTTCCTGCTCCCACCGTTTCACTAGTAACTGGTATAAATCATCCACAAGAGCAGGTCCCCCGAATTTAAAGAGGACTGGAGGAAGATCATCTGGTCGCGGGGCTTTACTTAACTTCAACAGTACGATCTCACGTTCGACTTCTGAGCGAGAGTGTGAATCCAAAAGGACAGTCCAGGGAGTGGGGCGATCAGTAGCCGGTGAGAAATCTAACAATTCCGACCGATTAAATTGCCTTTCAAAGTGCTCAACCCAACGCTCCAAGCGTTTTGACAAGTTGTGAATAAGATGTCCATAGCTTCACTAACATTATATCCTGCTGCCCGTTTCCCATATCAGACGGAATAATTTTCGACGGTTACCAAGGGCCGTGGTCATTTCCATCTGTGAAGCACAATGAGACCACCAGGATTCGCGGTCTCTCCTCAGGTCAGCACGGAGTTTTGCTTGGAGCTCTTTGCGAGTTTCATTGTGCTCGCTTCCATCCAGAATACGCCGGCAAGCATCGATAAGTTCCAGAGACTGGGAAGAGACCTAATGTCCACGTTGGCGATTAGACTTACCACATGAGGATTTGCCTGTTGCTAGTAAGCTCCGGTGAATATCAAACCAGTAAGCTTCAATTGCATCCAGTGAGCGCTAACTCAACTCGCATGACAGCGTACTTTGATAGGCGTTCAGAAGAGCTGGATTCCCCAGTTGGCTGGTGTCAATGCGCTCACAGCGTCGTCGTGGGCGTCCGCCAAAACGCATCCGCAGGTCAGCACATACAAGTGCATGATCGGTGTCAACACCTGTGCTCCAAATCGAGCGACAGTTCTGGACGCAGCCTCTCCAGCGGTAACTGATTGTGATGTGATCGATTTGCGTCCAAGGCTGGTTCGAGTCTGGTGGGCGCCAAGTCACCATCCGGCGGGTGTTGTGTCGGAAATTAGTGCTCGCAATAAATAAGCGGGCATCTTCACATAAATGAAGTAACCGCCCACCGTTATCATTACGGGAGCCTGCACCATGTTGCCTGCCCAGATGCAGCTCATCAGTGATAAAATTTCCAACTTGAGTGTTCAGATCCCCAGCCAGCACTACAGTATCCGTGCCACTTCTGTGGAAAAGAAGCTCATTCAGTTGGCGATAGAAGTCCACCTTTACCGAATCATCGTTAGAGTTTGTGAGTGCATAGGCAGCAATGAGGAAAAGACACCCGTTAGTCCGGTGCGGCTTCGAAGTTTTGAACGATCCAGCCAATCGGACCGCACACAACCGGCTACTGATTGGAATCCAATCAACCAGAGCAGCTTCAGCCCGAGGACTCAGGGCAAACCAACACTGACTTAAATAAATAGATAGTTTATTCTCAAATGTATAGAGACACACCAAATCAGGCTGCATCATCACAGCATAGGCGCAATGAGTACTGCGTGGGCAGGATACTGTCAAGTTGCCCAGGCCTAGACAGGAGAACGATTAGGGTTCTCAACCAAAGCCTTTTGTTCCAAAACCTGACCACAAAACAGCGGGTTTGGCGCTGAGCTACAAGGAGTCCGTTTTAAGGAATAAGGTGCCACTCTCATTCCAACCACCAACCTGGAGGACTAGAAGGCTGACTTTGTCTGGCCTCTAATGATTGACCAATCTGGTATGAGTGGCTCTGAAGGTGCAAAAATGCACCGCCCAGTATAACTCAATGGATCGGCACACAAACCATCGCACCACGGTAAGGTACAGCCTCATTGCGATGGGGTAAATTGGCTAGATCAGTGGACAGCCCTTTGCCGATAACTAACACGAAAAAGGTAAATTGGCATACATTTTCGTGTTAGTCATCGACAAGGGGGCTGGCCACTGATTTTGGCTTTATAGAGCACTTACTCCCACGCCAGTTCGTGGACGAGTCCATTAGGTTCATGGAAAGACAGGAACGTTCCTCTTGTATCTGACTTTTGTCAAGTCACGACTTTGTTAAAAAACCACCTCTAGAGGCCACTGACCCAGTTTGTTTGGCATTCAAAGGTGTTCTTCTTCGAGATCTCATAAAAACCAACACTAAATTCCGAATCCGTGGCGCGCAGTTTGTACTGCGAACAGAGCTAAAGCCGCGGCTTCGCCTTGTAATATCTCAGCGGAGGATGATTTCAAGACCACGTGGTCCTATACCAAGTCAGGTGTCTCTCCCTCATTTCCGAATCACTGTAAGGAAGATAAGAAATGAGAAACCACCGCGGTTTGATTTAGTTACACGCGAATTGGTGAACAGACTGACCAAGTGCTGACGGACATATTTGTCAAGTACCTCAGATAGTACATTTAGGTGTTATAGAAACTAATACAATATCTGCAGATAACACCTGCGTGCAGCCCGACTAAGATACAAGATAGAAATGGCCAACTCAGCTTCAGACAACTCAAAGCAATTTGTGCTCACTTCTACTCGTGTTGTTTACTTCCGGCAGCACTGCTGTCCACACAGATCAAGCGAAGACCTGTCTGCTAGCATATCAGTATGTGGGAGCATTCGTTAGGAAATATCTGGTAATTGCTAAGGTTCCAAACAACTAAGCCAAACAACCAACGACTCGGATGGACTGAGTCACTTTGTTGAAGCACAGAAAAGTCAATCAAATGATGATCATACAGATGCTTTCATTGGGGGATGAGAAATGAACATATCACATCTGAAAAATAAAACCGCAAGTGGAGACCAACCGGTAGAAAATAGTACAAGGAAGAGCGTGATTCTCCTTGCAACGTGACTGCTAGGTGAGAGATTAGAAATTGGGGATCAGAAAAGTGGAAAAGGGAAAGGAAATACGAAGCAAATCCAAACGAACAAACAGTGGGCGGATCACAGGGAGATATCATTGATTCGCTGAAACTGAAAAAGAAAGAACCATATGGGATGAGGGAACGAACACATAACTGTACAGAGGTGCTGACAGCGTTGCGCACAGTGAATACGCACCCGCTGATGCGGAATGGACCTTAGCCACAGATTAGGGCAGTGGAGAATCGCCCGCGGAACGTTGCGCGCAGCGAGGATCCGAATTAAGGGAATTCAAAGTGAGGATTGTTCTTTTTTCCACGTCTTCCCAATAGGACTGGTCTAGGTGAGCCAAGAAGGATTGAATCCGTGAGGAACGCTTCTTGTTTGTTGCGGAAGAACTCGCCACACGCTGCTGTGGCGTCGGGTCGACAACGAATAGGGAGAACTTCTATGAGACAAAGAAAATAGAAGGGGTAAGTAAGAGCTAGGATGAGCACAAGTATAGTAGCAGAAACGAAGTGCTTCTCTGAGATTTGTTAACAATTAAGGGCCAGATTGATACGGAAGAATGGACATCGCTGTTGAGGTAATAAGATGCTGGTAGGGACCGAACTGCATCAATAAAAAAAACCCGCCTAGTTCTGTAAAGTTCTTAAACACCACGTAAATATCAGCGTGCCTGGAGACGCATTGAGCACGCGCACACACAATGTTGTCAATCATAGCAGCTGATGCAATGTGTTAATGCAAACACGAGTTACTTAACAATTCGGAGAGTTCTGTGTATAGTTCCACATATTCATGTGTTTTAATGACAACGTTTTTACCAGATCCATCCCGTAGTCCAGTAATAAGTATTCTTAGCTTCGCGTTGGTACGTTACTTCACTCATTCCAGCCCTCATTTGGCGAATCACGAGAATCTGTCCGAAAGTATGACGCGGTGATTTGTGTACGTTGGCGGAATTTACCCACAGAATCGGCGCAGGGAATGGAAGTATGGAAGCGAAACAAACACGCAGACCATGATCGGTACAAATTGGCTGAACCACGTTTCGTACTGCCAAAAGGTAAAATATCTATTTGTCTACAGCATTCCAAAGCCATATGCAAGGGTTGTAAAGAATACGAATGCAGGCCTTTTTTTGCCTTGGAACATGAAAAAAATCGGGAAATCTGATACAGACCAGTATGGGGAGGAAGCGTAAGGTATCGACCGTAATACGACATAATTTCAAACGTATTGTCACAGGCGTGACAATCAGGCAAGTTGGTTACTAAACAGGCGTTAAAAGTAAGATTTTTACTTTTTCATACTTATGGGGAGATAGTAACTGTCGGGAGTGCAAGTGACTATCGAGTACAACGATGACCGTTGGCCAACTTCACCGAAAAGTATGGCACTAGGTTTGAACAGCAATAGGTACACCGGAAATGCGGATTGACGCACAGAATGGACACAATGCTGCGGATTAAATGGGAGAGTCAACGAGAATCCGCCTTGACAAAGACAAGTTGTAGTACAATACCTGACGGGTTGCGCACACCAAACGTACCAGGGGAAGCTTTGTGCTAAAATACACACTTCGTGCACCCCAAACAACTGCAGTCAACGTGAACACCTCAATCACGTTGTTGCGCTATTGGTATCTACAACCCAAACACAATACGTGCTAGGGTTTCTCTTACATCGAGGCTCTTCAGATAGGAGTGACACAGTCCATGTTCGAGTCGGTGATTGCCTGCTTGCTTAACGCACTGACCACTGTGTGAAACTGAAAACAGCGATGACTGAATATTCGTTTGAGAAGTGCCAATCCCTTGATCAGTGCGGTCTGAGCAGCGATAAGCCCATTTGAACGCAGTTCACAGTCCCAAGTACGAGAGTGCTGCAATTGAAACAAACACAGTCGAGGGCTTTATTTCAAAGCCCATCACCCACCAGATGCGATGTGGTGGGCCGCGAATTCGCATATAACTTTGTTCGAGCAGTCCACTTTGGGTTCGAACAACAAACATGAGATTGGTATGGCGTACGCGACCAGCCATCACTGATTTCAATCTTGTTGTACAACGTTGATAGGAGGCAATGAGTGCCAGGGAAAATTGAGCGCAGCAACAGCATAACGGAGATCGAACAGATGTATCAGATGTTTTACACCAGTATCCTGAGATGTCACTGCTTAGTATTTGAGAGTCGGTAGACATCTGTGGCGGTTTGAGAAGGGGTGAGGGAGGTCAAGAACTGGTAACAAATGTCTCCAGATAAGCGAAATCCCTTGCATCTAGAGGACTGGCCAAAACTGAGACAATTTTCAGAAACACGAAGCTCGGGCACAGCAGAGCCATGAAAGAGCAATTCTGCTGTTACCGTACGCTTGGGGATTAAGAAGTTAGGCAGTTTTTGTTGCATCGCGACAGCATAAGACAGACAATGAAACAACTTAAGCAGACAGTACGCAGGAATCCGAAGATGCTTTCAGCAAACAACCGGGAATACTTAGTTTGTTGAGCATTTCTTTAAAAGTCAACATAGCGACGATGAAGTAGCAATGTTGATGAAGGGCCAAAAGTCGGCGTTTGTGAATAAGATGGGTGCACAATATCGCGGTGCACCACAGATACACTTTGTATGCGTAGTCTTGCTTCATGAATGGCGAAAGCACCTGGTCATTAGTAAGATGAGTGGAGAACGAGCAGGATTTAAAACCATCCAACGGTATCCGACAGGTTTGGATAAAAAGTCACGTGGCTGAAATAAATATTGCCCGCGGCTTATACGGCGCTCCGCTCAATGGGGTAAGGAGTGACATGCCGGAGAGTATAAAGTGCAATGGTCCGTAGCTAAGGTACAAGTGCTATCACTGTAATCATGAGTGCACCTTGGCTGAGGCTGAGAAACACACAGTTATTGTGCCACAATACAGTAAGACGAGATATAGGAAAAAGTGAGATACTAAATATCAGAGAATACAAAAAGTAAAAGCAACATAATGCTACGTACTGTATTTTGCATGGAGTGTGATAGTAAATAAATAAATTCGTAGATTTACCGACAAGCGGGAGCGAGGGCGACAATTTGTACACAAAACTCGTGTCATGGTTTATGCGGCATAAAAGATCGTAATAAAAATAAGAGATGAAAAACAGAATTTAAGATAATGAATTTGCCCTCAGATCGTCGACCTAGTCACTCAAAATGTATGTGTAATCATGTTTTTGAATTTTCCAGGCAAGGAAACTCGGGAGCAGCCAAAAGTAGAGTAGGTTGCACGGGTACAATTTTAATTTCATGGGCACTGATAAAGAGAGGGTAGGATGACTGTAGGCTTCTGGCTGCACATATGTTGTCTAGATGAGCTTCCGTCAATGTTTCTGGCGATTGCGGTGAGCCAAGTGTCTTTAAAAGAATTCGGTATAGTGAGGAAAGTCTCCAGAGAATCTCGGAATGTGACTCGGTTAGCGCACGTAAGTACTTGCAGTTTCACAGATTGGAATATCTCACTAAAATGAAGGTTGATGGGTTTTTATGACTAGCAAGCTGTGAAGACAACAAGCAGCTGCCACTAAGAGTTAGATAAATGGCAGTTTTCCACAGCTGCAGTGCCGTGCTCTCCGTGGAAATTCGATTAGTTATAATGCTGAAGAGAAAAAGATTGTTCTTCAATTGTCTCAGCCAAAGTGGATCCATTCGGAGGTGACTGCAATGATCACATTACCTCAGGGTTGAGCAGCGCCCCATGACCAAGTTGGTAAGTGATCGCTGGATACTTTTCAGAGCTGTTCTTTCTTTCTTAACTGGCAGTGAATGATAGTACAATAACCCAGAGTGGATCTCACGATTAGATTGAATAAGTCAAATAGTGGTCCAGACAAGGAGAAAGTTCTAGTGATGTGACCGGATAGTGGTCTGGCTTTTGCGACATGGTAAAGTATATGTCCAGAAAAATTGAATGAGTTAGGATACCTAATTCCCAAGTCCCGAACTGAATCAGAGGATGGGATCACGTTGCCGTTAAGCGCGACAGTCTTCTGTGATGCAGCATATGTACTCAAGTACTTGGGATTTTCTTGCGGATAACTGCATTAACAGACGTCCACTAAAGATATTCAGTGCGAGTAAGTCTTCATGTATGGTTCTCAGGCACACTTGCAGTTGGTCTGATTGAAATGAGTAGATTAGTTTGATGTCATATGCAAAAAGAATTGAGCGTTCGCCTTGGATGGGGTCGTATAAGTAGTTTATGTGGACTAGGAAAAGTAGTGGTCCAAGCACACTTCTCTGAAAGACAGCACTGATTATTCGTTTTGGTGTAGAGTACTGCTGACCTAGCCTGACTCTTTGTGCTCGATCGTTAACGTAAGAGTCGAACCAGCTTAGCAGTTTCCAAATGTCGTATGACTCTAGCACAGATAACAGTGGCTTGTGGCGTTGTCCGTTGGGGAATGGCATTCCCGGGAAGTTGGTTTCCGTACTGCGTACTCTGCATAGTCTGACCTAGGGTAGAGTTAGGGCTTATGGCAAGCTTTCACCTTCCTTTGTTGTCACCAGTGGGGTTCGACAAGGATGCCCTATCTATCCGTTCCTCTTCAACTTTGCCATTGAGGATGTCCACAAAAACTCTATAGAAGACTTGTTGGACGCTGGCGTTGAGCTCCTCCTAGGTAGTCGGGTGGTTGATTTGGCTTACGCTGATGATATCGTCTTCTGGGTGACAGTCCGCAGGCCATCCAATTTGCAATCAACCGCCTGGTGATTGAAGCGTCGAAGTGTTGCATGCACTTTTCCCCATCCAAGCGCAAAGTGCTTTTCGTGACTGGCATACGCCTTTAACAGCACTCACCATTGATGGTGAGAAGCTAGTTGTGTAGAGTCTTGTCTATCTGGCAAGCTGTTGGAAAGGAGATTTCGTTGCGCATCTCAAGAGCTTGTCTCGACATTCTCTAGACTGAGCCGTTTATGGTGCCGCCATGACACCAGCCTCTTCATCAGAGGGCGGGTTTATAGTGCGACCGTCCGCGCTGTACTGTTGCGAAACTTGGCCTGTTCCCACCGATGACCTGCGCCGACTGTCTACCTTCGAGAATTGTTGCTTGCGCACCATCGCCCATGCGTGCTGGCTACACCTCGTAACCAAGGTTGTAACACTGCCGCCGAAACATTCGCTGGAATGGGATAATCCCAAAGCATCCAGCTGGTAATTCGGCAAGCCTTAGGGATCCCAAAGATGCTGAGTGCCGCTGGTTATAAACCTTGAAAGTCATGACTCAAAACCGAACCCAATGGCGGGTGTGTATCTGCTTGTTGCGGGAATTCCCCTTCCCTCCCCCCAATAAAAAAAACAACAAAAAACTCAAAAACGATGAGTAGGGAAATGGACAAAAAGGTTTGTTGTCCTTCTTTTACTCTAATCCTGTTTTCCTATTCCGTCATGGTTCCGATGGCACA